TGTCCTTCTCGAGATCATCAATAAAGACACACACACACAGAGCGTTTGTTTTTCCCCCACAAAACAGCGTCGAGCAGAGACCTGGTCAGTGAGAAAGGAGGGTTTGTAGGTGCCGTCGGTGGAGGTGTTGCCCGTGCCACGCAGGGACTTCATGTGGGACACAGCCATGCGCAGGATGGTGAGCTTGTCGGGTTTGCGGGCCAGGGCGCTGCAGGTGGGCACCATGTCCGACAGCTCCGTGATGTAGGCCGTCATCTTGTTCCTCCGCCTGCGCTCGATCTCGCTGTGGTTTTCCCTGCAAAAAAGGGAAAAAAAAGAAAAAAAAAAGAAAATAAATGCTAGGGAGGAGAGGAGGAGGGAGAGGGAGTTAGCGTTCGCCCACGTCAACGCTTCCAGGAGGCCCGAGAGAGCAAAACACGGGGAGGCACCGGGGTGGTGGGGGGTTAGAGGGGCCACGAGGGCCTCAACATGCTGGGCGTGCACAGAGGGAGGTGGGGAGGAGTGCAAGGAGGAGAGGACACAGTCGGACCTTCTCTGCTGAGGACAAGAGCATCCCTTCAAACCCCCTCGGTTCCCCGGGGTCTGGGGAAGGCAAGGAGTGAGGCTGAGCTGGTCTAGCACTTCCCCATCCAGCCCATGAAGCTCCATGAAGCCAAAGGATTCCTTCCTTCGGGGTTCACCTCACTCTACTGAGGAAATCTGCTTTTCAAAAGCACTGGGGCAGCCTAGGAAGGCTCATCCCACCCACTGTTTGTCCCAGGATGAATCAAATCCCCTGGAGACACCCGTGTCTCTCCGATAACCACCCAAGGAGGCCAGGGCTCCAGCCAAGACACGGGCACCTAAATGACAGCAGAGAGTCTCACCTCGCAGTGCCTTCGTGGAGACACTTCTCACTCACATCCAGAGCCTCTTACAATATCGTGGGAGGTGAGAAAGCTTTAGAGTGGATACAAACCCCATTTCTGTAGGGATCAAGGCCGATGCAGATGGACCATCTACCAGGTGGTGAGCACATACCTCTAACGAGGCACCACCACGAATGCTGCACACAGCATATAGGCCTTAAAAAGGTTCCTCACACGCCTTTCCCAAGTCTGCTCACAGGGCAGAGTCCTCATCAACCCCCCTGGATACGACTGCTGCACACAGCATATAGGCCTTAAAAAGGTTCCTCACACGCCTTTCCCAAGTCTGCTCACGGGGCACAGTCCTCCTCAACCCCCTCAGACATCAGAACGTGACCTGCTTGGGTCCTTTTTCTCCATTTTATGTGGTTTAACTGGGTTATTAAGGTGGGTTTTTTCAAAACAGAATTTCAAAAGCCAGGTTTCCTATAGAGAAGGATGGATCGGATGGAAGGAGGCAGGTGGTGGGAAATGGAAGAAGATGGAAGTGTTGGAAGGAACAGGGACAGGCAGGTGAATTAAAGAGGATAAATACAAAACTGGAGCATTTTATCCCTCCTGGGTGTGTGCAACCACTCAACGGCCTTGCTCCTCGCTGCAAGAGACTGACAGTCACAAAAAGCAGGGCTTCAATTATCACACTCACCTTTAATTCAGTTTCTCCAAACTCAAGTGTGAGAATGAAGCCACCTTCACTACCAAAAGCTACTGGGAAAGCACCAGACGTTCTCCTTGCCCCACTTGCCAAATATTCATTACTACAGGCTCTTGCACGACAGCAGCAACGGACCAGGGGGGGGCAAAGGAAAGGGTCACTACCTCACTGGGGGAGAAACCCCCGAAAAGCGCTGCTCTTTGCTGCTTTCCCAGACCCCACCTCCAGGGTTTCCTTATCTCCTCAAATATTTAAGCTATGCAACGCTGCAGTTGGGAAAGGCTGCATCTGGGGGTGATTTTTTTTGGTTTTAAAACCAGCCAGTGGGCAATAAACTGAGCAGAATTGCAGCACTGGTGGCACCCATCAGTCACTTTAGTCCTGTGCATTGCTTAAGAAGGAGCCCAGGGTGGAAGAGTCCTAAGAAGTTATGGGGTAAGTCTACAAGCCACAAAACGAGCTTTTCTTCACAAATTAGCAACCCTCAGCTCCGCGGCAGTAACGAGCCGTGGGCAACAAGCGACAGAAACATTGGGGATTTAAAGCAGTTTTTATTTTGTTTCCTTATCTCCTCAAATATTTAAGCTATGCAACGCTGCAGTTGGGAAAGGCTGCATCTGGGGGTGATTTTTTTTGGTTTTAAAACCAGCCAGTGGGCAATAAACTGAGCAGAATTGCAGCACTGGTGGCACCCATCAGTCACTTTAGTCCTGTGCATTGCTTAAGAAGGAGCCCAGGGTGGAAGAGTCCTAAGAAGTTATGGGGTAAGTCTACAAGCCACAAAACGAGCTTTTCTTCACAAATTAGCAACCCTCAGCTCCGCGGCAGTAACGAGCCGTGGGCAACAAGCGACAGAAACATTGGGGATTTAAAGCAGTTTTTATTTTTGCAGCAGGGAATGGGGAAGGAGCCGTGGGGAGCTGGAGAAATGCAGCCCCCGAAAATGCCCCAGCTCCAGCAGCCGCATGCAGCGTTCTCGGGGGGGTTCTGCATCAAGGGTAAAGCACTCAGACTGCTGCCTTTCAGCCCCAGTCCCTCAGTTAAACAGGAACTTAGGGGGGAAAATAATAAATCTTGTTTTCAGAACGTCTAAATCACCGTCATGCAGAGGACACCACCTCCCCTGGAAGGTTTTAAGGGGTAGAAACAACCTGAACTAACACACTTTTTCATGTCTCTTTGAAAGTCCAACAGCGTTGCCGTGACAAAACCTCATGGAGGAGAGACCAGTTTGGCACCTTGACCCAGCACGAGAGAAACTGGATTTAGCTCAGGTCAGCAAAGCTCCAGTGCTCAGTGAAAGCAAGGGCCCCACCATGCTCTGCCCTGCAGCCTTTGGCAAACAAATCCTCTAGGTTATTCCCCAAAGACATTCTCACACGGGGACTAAATGCCTTTCCCCTCCTAATTCCAACCACACAGCAATTTCCAGAAGCCTGTTGGGTTTGAAGTCCTCTACTGCAGCAGATGAGGGAAGGAGGGGAGGGAAAGAGAGAAGGGATGCCTAGAGAAACATGAAGGAAAGGAAATAACTCTGCTTGTCCATGCTTGAAATCTCCATTCTCCTACCTGGCAAGTCTCTCCTTATCCGCTGAACTCTGTTCATCATCAGACCTAAAAATAAAATCAGCCAGCTAAGCTAAAAATGGAAAAAAAGTTTAAAAGAAATGAAAAATGGGAAGATGTACTAGGAAACCCAGCCTACAGACACGTCTGTTTTGCAGAGGAGCAGTTCCATAAAACAAAGCAGTCATTAGTTTGCAACATTTCACATTGAACGGGTGCCCACTATCTGCAGCGGTTGGAGGTTTTAAGACTCTTACCAGGACTGCAAAATAGGCAATAGCTCTGCATTACATATAAATGAGGGGCAAATTATTCCAGGTAAGATTAGAAGATTAAAGGGAAAACTAGGAACTAAGGTCCCAGTCACATTAAACTAACCTGTCCTTAAAGAAAAAAAATAAAAAAATCAATAGCCTCTTTGGTAGCATTAACAAATCAGAAAAGCAGGTAAAAAACCAGCCAAAATCCACAGACAGCGTAAGATTCACAGCTAAAACCACACGTTTTTGTAACACTGCCACACAGACACCACTGAGGACGAGACAGCCAAGGTGGCTACAGGACAAGGAGCACACGGACGTCACGAGCACCATCTCCAACCCCCACCAGCCTCACACCCCCCCAGCTTTTGGGGAAGAGGAACCCGCAAACCTTGTTTTACAGATTCCGATGGTAAGTTTTCCCCCTTGAGGTTTGGCTGCCTTGGGAAACAAATAATTCCCCCAAAAGCCACCGCTGGCAAAGGAGAAGGTACCCCAGGTGTTGAGTGAGACAGGCATCCAATCCCTCATGGGCTGAGCCCCTCAATCATACATTGGGGGTTTATGGAGTAGGGGAGGGGGTTTTGCATCAGCCAGCTGTGACACCCGGCCACTCCCAACAGGTTTTAGCACAGTACTTCAAGAAAAAAATAATTAAAAAAGGAGTCACGTTCACTTCTGTGCTGCTTTTGCCTTGCACCATGGGAGGAGGGAGGGATGTACTGGGAAATGAGGGCTGGGGGAGCACGGTGGTCCCACAAACAGAGCCACCAAGGGAGCGGGGTCACCTCCTACAGCCTCATGGGGTGTCACCACACCCCCCCCCAGGACTGTCACTGCTCTTCACCCCCTGCCACTGCCCTTCTTGCTCCAGCCAGTAACTAATCTCTATATTAAAACACCCAGGAGCTGCTGATGCCCCACGGGAGCTCTGGGACTCTCTGGGACATTCAGTGGGTTTGTGTTTTAATTTAATTTATTCCTTCCTCGCCCACCGTGTGAGCATGAACCAGGGTGATCAAAGGCCACACCACACCAGGGTGACAGGGAGCTGAGGTCCTGCTCCAGCTCTGGCATCACACAGCCAGGAAGCAGAAATTTTAATGGCCATGAAGTTGTTCAGCACCTACAGAATCTGCTTTTTTTTTATTTTTTCCAGTATTTTGCATTCTCTTTGCACTTAAAACATATTATCAGGGTCTGCCGTACCTTAAGTTCTCAGAGTTTATGACTCGTGCCAGGGAACAAGCGTATTCAGTGGCAAATATTTTTCTAATTTGATGGATTTTGGAACAAGTCAAAGCACACAACCCCCAATTTCAGGTCTTTCTGAAGCCCCTCCTGAAGACAAGGCACTAAATGCAGCCTCTTGGCCATTACTCCCTATTTGCTCACTTTATCTCTCAGCGAGACACAGCACGACGTGCTGAGGGGACACCCTGGAATATACATAAAAGAACTTCACTTTGGCAAAACCATTACACCTCAACACAAAATAAACCCATGAAATATTTAAATTGAGTTCCACGGCCTTCAGCAAGCTGTTGGAATGGTATGAGGCCAGTCCCAGCACTAGAAGGGACAGAACTACTCTCAGACACTCACAAATAAACAACGGGAGCCCACGTGCTGCCCTAGAACATCTCCGTACACCCCGATCTCCAGGAAAACCCCTTTCACAGGGAGAGCTTCTGCCCCAACTCCCCCCCCAAAACACACAAACCACAACATTTGCCAGGAAACCCTGTTTTGAGTAAAAGTTGAACTAAACACAAAACTTGTCTCTTGAGCAGGAGAAAAGAAGGAGAGTCCAAGCTGAAAGAGACGTTAAAAAAGAAGAACATAATTTCACAACAAACTGGTCCATAAAAACATGAAGGAAAATGTCTGGATCCTTTGGTGCACC